TTGCCGGAAGAAGATTGTCGGGGTGTGAGAGGTTTCTTGTTCGTCCTGGGTGGTACTGGAGGACCTCCCTGAGCATATGAGGTAGAATTGGGTCGGGATTTGGGTCCTGTTGTGGGGCGATTTGGAGCCAGCTGTTGGTACATAGCCAAAATATTTTAGTCTACACTATATAAATGTCACTATATAAATGTCAGTGTATTCTGTACACCCCTATATTTGCTTGTAAGTGTTGTTGTGGAGTCAAAAGTGAGATTGTTCTATGATAGACCATGCCTGTTTTCCACACATAGTGTATAATGCACCGCAGAAAGCTCTGGAGATAGTACAAAATAGTCTAAGAGATATGTGAAGGACCCCAGTCAAATCTTTCTCTAGATACCAAACCTTCATTATATACGTGTATACCAGACCTATACAACATACATGCAAATGCCCATATACATACACAAACCAGCAACAACATACACACCGTGTTCACATACCGGACTGAGGCTGCCCGGGGTGTTGTCTGTAGGCCCATCCGACTCTGACTGACTGTCGTCGTCCGGAATCTCCAAAGACACGCAGATAGCCACGCGGTTGTTCACTACACTCAGACTGTCCTCTGATGTTGGTGTGCTGGTGGTTTTGCCGCCCTTGCTTCGCACCCGCACGCCAGGTATAGTGACTTCCCCAGAGGGACTCTCCGAGTCTGTGCTTTTTGTTGCGGCGGTTGTATCTAGAGAAAGAGATACAGAGAGAGAAGGGGGGGGGAAGGGGGGGGTCAGGGGACGGGTCAGACACTCGCTACAGTAGAACCTGTTTCATTAGCCATAGAGCTCTCAATAAAACACACGCGTTTCGAGTCACCCTAGTATATCCGGAGAGTCCAATGTACAGCACTGTTTGGCCTATGACGCGAATAACATATAAATGAAAACCCTAACACCCTAAAGCCCCCAACATCCTCAACCTTGAACAACTCCCTCGTGCTATAAATACACCATACAAACGGGCCAAAGCCTACTACCGCCTGCCTGATCCACTGTACACCATCCAGTCTGCCTTCAGCAGCACTGACTGACACACACAATACCCACCTGGTTGTTCCGTGCTATGGCTCTGTACCGAAACCTCTGTGGGTGCGGAGGAGGTACTGCTGGATTGTCTACTGGTCCTTCTCGAGCCTGAATGAATTCAGTAAGTGATTATTGAGACTCTGACTGACCCTACGCCATCAGGGACATACGAGAGTAGTTATTTGGATCACTGTGACTACTGGGATGTGTCGCTGATCAATCCCGGCTAGCTCTCAAAATTGGTTTGAGACCAATATCTATAGTATTGCCCGGCACCTGAGTATACGCAACTCGAACTAAAATGACCCAAAAACAAGTGCTAGATATCAACGAAATAAACTTGACACTACTTGCGAAGATATTACATTCACAGACCAACGCATACAATTGCAGGTAATGTCTAGTTTTAGGCATATCATTGATACATGAATTCCAAATTTATTTCGACTAGTACTTCAGTGACTACACATGTATCGATTATAATATCAATATAATATATAAGACATAAGAAATATACATTGTATATCTATATATACATTTATATACACATCTACATACATCTATATACATCTATATATATATATGTGTGTGTGTGTGTGTGTGTGTGTGTGTGTGTGTGTGTGTGTGTGTGTGTGTGTGTGTGTGTGTGTGTGTGTGTGTGTGTGTGTGTGTGTGTGTGTGTAG